GTGTGTGTGTGTGTGTGTGTGTGCGTCTGTGGCTTTGCGTTGCAACTTCAGCTAGATGCGTTGCATCCGAAGGAGAGAGTGGTGCTGAGGCAACGCTTTGGGCTGGACGGACTAGGAGACAGGTCGTTGCAAGACATAGGGAGCTATTTGAATTTGTCGAGGGAGATGGTGCGAAAGTACGAAGGGAGGGCAATGTTGAAGATGAAGAATGCCAGCCGCATGGATCAGCTTCGTCAGTACCTTGTTGGACCTGGCACAGAAAGCTGAATCAGATCTGCTTCTTCTCACTTTAAGTTATCAGTCAGTGTTATCACATTCCCAGTGAAGCCATCTTTGCACGTCCTCAACAACCTTTCCTCCCTCCCCTTCCTCCCTCCTGCTGGTACTGCTAACCCCTCCAACTAACTCCGGTCGGTTAACCGGATGCGTTGCTTGGCGCCATTGCTTCACTTGCTGCATGAAACTGATGAAACTGTGCATTTACTTATACATGCCAAATCTGCCACATCCGCTACATATGGCAAAGAGTTTGCAGAGTGGGCAAAGCTTTCATGATCCTGCTAACCCATCGAACTAACCCCTGCCATGTGCCATGGTTGGACACCACTTCACCCGCCTGATGAGTTGCTTGAACCCTTTCCGGGCCTTTCGGGCCTTTTGTAACTGTGAATCCAAAGGCCTTAAGTTAGCCACCGGTAGTCAGTCAAGAGTCGACCCCATACCGCACCGTACATTTTTGGTCGCATCCACCACGGGATCCAAGGGAGGTTTGGTCCTTACAGGCTGTGTCGAGTAAACCCCCCCCCTGCTTAGCTTAAGCAGGTAGCTAGACACCTTCCATTACCTTCCCTTCCCTTCCCTACTGAGGCTACTGGCGAAGCAGCCAGTGCTTTCCTGTTTTGCCAGCCAGGTCCTTTTCGAGTTAGGCTGTTGGGACTATAAGGGCCCCCTAACTGACTTCCAGCTTGGAACTGATCAAACCCAAACCTTACAGTCTTACAGATGATGCCACAGATGGCACAGAGTTTGCAGAGTGGCAAAGGGGTCACATGATACTGCAGCATAACTGCTAACCCATCCACTGGCAGTGAACCCGGGTTAGACGAACCGTTGGATAACAGTGAAGTGGATGGATCGCTTGGGGAGCAATGCTTGCTGCATGAAACTCAGTCTGATGAAACTAGGGCAACTTTATGTTTACAACTTTACAGACAGATGCCACAGATGATGGCGGGGCAGAGTTGGCAAAGTAAGTGACATACGAACTGGATGCACGAGTTGGTGGCATAGCGTTCATGACACTATCGTCTTCACGCAAATAGAATGGCATTGCCCGGTCATTATAGCTGTATTGTACTTGGGCCAACTTTACGTCTAGAGACAGACAAGGATAATGACCGGGCGTTCTATGGGGTTGAAGACGGGAGTTTGTAAGTTGTCAGACAGTAAGTACCAAAGCACCATGATCACCAGGGATCGGACGGTCTCCCTTTGTACAAGGTGGTCCCAGATGGTCCCAGATGGTCCCAGATCTTTGTACAAGGTGGTCCCAGATGGTCCCAGATGGTCCCAGATGGTCCCAGATGGCAAATAGTTCCTGGAGTGGTCCCAGATGAACCCCCAGGTGGTCGAAGGGTGGTCCCAGATGGTCCCAGATGGTCCCAGGTTTGCAAATACTGCACAGGTAGCTGCAGGTGGTCCCAGGTCACAAATAGTTCCCAGGTGGTCGTAGGGAGGTCCCAGGTAGTCCTAGGCACCAAATTGTTCCCAGGGTGGTCCCATATGGTGCCAGGCAGGATGATCCCAGGTGGCCCCGGGCCATCCTAGGATTGCCCCACATGGTCCCAGGTGCGCCCCACGCCCACCCCACCAAACATCGCCAGAAAGTGGAAACCAAAAGGTGCATTGGATTTTTTATCCGACGGTGGTGGTGATGATTCCTGCAGGCAGTGCAGGGCTTCCTAATCTGTTGGAGGCCTACAACTACAAATGCTCACTCAGCTGCCGGGCTTATCCTATGCAAACTCATGGTTTAACAAATTAACACTAATAATAATACGGACTGTTGCACATCACCCCCTGGTGGTATATAGGAGGGCAGATAGGCTGGCAGTGGGCAGGGTTGTCACACACTGTCAGGTCAGTTGCAGGACTGTGCGACAGGTCTGTCACACAGGTCCTTGAGGGGTCAGGTCTTGCCGCATAGGTCATGCGGATTGCCCGACATACTCACAGCCTGAGAGTTCTGCTGATTACCGACAACGGGGACAAGGTCCTGAGTTTCCCAACAACTGGATTGGTTGATTGCTGATCGATCCCGAGCCCAGCTGCAAGCTTAGGGGGGAGGGGAGCAGGGGAAAGGGGGGG